TTCTGTGTTTATTATATCTATTTCCTATGCCTTTTCTAGGGCTCTTTTCTTTCTGCTTGTTTATTTTGTCCTATTCCAAAGTATTATCTTTTGTTTTATCTTATTTTATTATTATCCCACAGTAGCCTGCTTGTTTTGTAATAAGAGACAGAAAGGGTGGTTCTGGATGGTAAGGGAGGTGGAAAGGGGCTGTGAGAAGAGGAGGCTGAAACTGTGATCAGAATACATTCTGTGAAGAAAAAACATATTTTCAACAAAAGGAAAACACCAACAAAATTATTATCATGTATCTAACTGAAGTATTAGTAATTCTATAGGCGTGACATTAGATTTGATACTGCTTTAAGAGTGTATTTTGGAGGATGAATTAACTGGTGAAGGTCAGTGTGCATCTTCCACTTTGTCCTCATTTTAAAAAACAACTTAATGAAAAAAGCAAAACAGCCTGCTTCTCTCACCGCAGCCCCTTCCTGTGTCTCCTATCAGTTTTTTTCTTGCTTCTTTCTGTTCTTCTTGGCATCTGGGCTTCTTCTTGTGCCAAGTGAGTCATCAGAGAGGAAACATTTAACCCACATTGCTACCCTGGCTGGGAGAAAAGGCTTGAAGGCAAACGTTGCCCGCATAAGCTTCTTTAGGACCCTGATGTGACTTTCCTGGTTCTTCTGAGGACATTACTGGGAATTCAAATTAAAAAGTAGTAAATTGCCCAATTTCATATATACATCTTCAAAGATCAAGTCCCATTTTAAACTTTTTTTCTAAAATTGTGAGGACGTTTCCCTGCATCAACATATATTTTCTTACTATTTAGTCTCCTGCAAAGGATTTATTTTAAAAGCACAAGTAATAATAATGAAGAGAAATTATTTAAATTTAAAAATTTATTTTTATTTTGTGTTTATGGATATTTGCCTCCATGTATGTCCATGCAGTGTGTGTGCATGGTGCCCACAGAGGTCAAAACAGGACGTCAGATCCTGCAGAACTAGAGTTACATATGGTTGCAAGTCACCTTGTGGGTACTGGGAATCCAACCCAGGTCCTCTGGAAGAGCAACACATGCTTTTAACCACTGAGCTGTCTTTCTAGTCCTAAACAGTTGTTTTGGAAATGAGAAGAATAATAAGTAGAACCATAAAGCAAACATGGTGTGCATTCTGGCCCAGAATAACTACTTTCTGTTGAATGCTGCACCCCAGACATAACACCCCACACCCCTCAAAACTTCAGAACTTCTCTTCTTCGCAAGAGACACTGCTTTGAGTCACTTAGGCTTTGTGGAAGTTAGTTAATGTAATTCCGTGTTGATAGTTTTTGGTGCAAGTGGAATTTGCATTCTCTGGTAGTCTCCAAACCATACATAACCCCTGCCCTGAAGCTTGTTTTACAGCATAGAACTTTCCTGGTATTGTCATCAGATACACACATCCCATTGTCTAAGGAGTCAGCACCAGTATGTGATGCAGACTTCAGGGCAGTGGGGTGGGGGGAGAGGGAGAGAGAGAGAGAGAGAGAGAGAGAGAGAGAGAGAGAACAGAGAGAGAGAACAGAGAGAGAGGGGGAAGAGGGAGGAGAGAAGGAGAGAGGGAGAGAGAGAGGGGACAGAGAGAGGGGGAAGAAGGAGGAGAGGAGAGGGGGGACAGAGGGGGAGAAGAAAGAGAGAGGGAGAGAGGGGGGTGGTAGAGAGAGAGAGGACGGGGGCAGAGAGAGATAGGGGACAGAGAGAGAGAGAGAGAGAGAGAGAGAGAGAGAGAGAAGAGAGAGAGAACAGAGGGGGGCAGAGGAAGGGACAGAGAGAGGACAGAGGGGGCAGAGAGAGGGGACAGAGAAAGGGAGAGAGATAGGACAGAGGGGGACAGAAATAGAGGAGAGAGAGAGAGGGAGAGAGAGAGAGAGAGGACGGGGACAGAGAGAGGACACAGAAAAGGACAGAGGGGGGCAGAGAGAAAGGGAGAGAGAGAGAGGACGGGGGGCAGAGATAGAGGGGACAGAGAAAGGGAGAGGGGACAGAGAGAGAGAAGGGACAGAGAGAGAGAGGGGGGACAGAGAGAGAAAGGGAGAGAGAGAAGAGAGGGGACATAGAGAGGAGAGGGGAGAGAGGAGAGAGAGAGAGAAAGGAGGGAGGAGGAGAGAGGGGACACAGAGAGGGGGAGAGGGAGGAGAGAGAGGACAGAGAGAGAAAGGGAGAGATAGAGAGACACAGACACAGAGACAAAGGTATTCACACCCACTGAAGCTCCTGCTCCCGTTAGCTACCTCTCCTGACCCCGCATTTCTCCAAAAATTTTCCCTCCTCCTGCCCAGTGCAATAATCTCTTCTGAGTTACAGTGTGTGCTCTTGAGTTACAGTTACAGCTCCTCATGGCATGTCTGAGTTTGAATTCAGTGTCATCATCTGAATATGTGCTTTTCTTAGAGTTGGGTCATTTTAAAGCTCTTTGAGTTAAAAATATTCTTAGATATTTTTGTTTGTTTTTCGAGTCAGCGTTTCTCTGTAGCTTTGGGGCCTGTCCTGGAACTAACTCTTTTTTTTTTTTTTTTTTTGGATTTTTCGAGACAGGGTTTCTCTGTAGCTTTTTGGTTCCTGTCCTGGAACTAGCTCTTGTAGAACTGGCTGGCTTCAATCTCATAGAGATCCGCCTGCCTCTGCCTCCCGAGTGCTGGGATTAAAGGCGTGTGCCACCACCGCCCGGCTCGAGATCTTCCTTTTTTCCTCTCAGTGATTTCTTCAGTCACCAACAATGTTAGGCAGCAACAGGAGAAATGAATGGAGTTTGTAAACGCCTTAAGTGGTGGGCTGAGACATGTGGGGGAGCACACGCGAGAGAGGAGGTGGGGGAGGCATGGGCGTATAAGAATGTCCCATTACTCTAACCTCGAGTGTTGCCTCTGTTGCCATTTTGCTGGCTGTTTTGCCAGTGAATACTTGTTCCTAAAGATGCTATGGGATCCCAGGGGAGTCATTCTGGCAAGAGGCATAGTAGTATCCTGGCTATTCTGCCACGACTCAACAAATGTCTATCCATTGACTGTTATTAAAGTCTTAGTTCTCCCATTCAATGATTCAAATCCCTCCTGATAGCATCTCTAAATGTTTTCTAATGTCTGGGCTAATGAGTTATGTGCTTCTTTTCAGGGTCAAGCGGTGTGATTAAATAGATCCGAGGGCTTTCCTGAGTCACAATTGGGGTACCTGTCTGACTGCTTGGAAACCATATGTGGTAGCTGGGGGAGGCAGAAAACTACAACCTTAACTGCAGGAAGTTCTCACACAGCTTATTGCCACATAGGAAATGTTCTTGCATCCTCAGTGGAAAGGCTGGAGCCTTAGGGAAAGTTCCTTTCTCTTCTGTACAAATACAAACCTGCCTGTGGCACTAACCGAAGAAACTCAGCCCTTCCTACTCAGTGTATGGCCCAAAGGTGCTTTCCCCATCACCATCCTCCCTTTGTCCTCTGCACTTGGACTCTTCCCCGTGCGTCTCTCTGAAGGCCACCATCCAGTCACCATCTGCTCTTACCCAAGACGCCACACAGAGACTGGCTCTCACAACAGCCAGTGCTGTGGGCCAACTGTTACTGATAAGGCAAAAGCGCTCCAGCCTGGAGCAGGGGCAGAAGAGAAACAGGGACCCCTAACCTGTAAAATAACACATTTCCATACGATTGTGAGGAAAGGGAACCAAAATAATGCCTGGAGCGCTTTAAAGATTGCATGGATGGCACAGTGTATGACGAGTGCTAATAACCATGTAACTAGTTATTAATTTTTCCTCAGAATACTTTCTTTAGGGGCTGGAGAGATGGCTCAGAGGTTAAGAGCATTGCCTGCTCTTCCAAAGTTCCTGAGTTCAATTCCCAGCAACCACATGGTGGCTCAAAACCATCTGTAACGGGGTCTGGTGCCCTCTTCTTCATACACACAGACAGAATATTGTATACATAATAAATAAATAAATATTAAAAAAAAAGAATACTTTCTTTAGCCTTGCAGGAATTTAAAAGCCAGTGTCTTCAGTAGATTCCACAACTAGGACTTGGAGAGGAAAAATATGAACAACTCAGACCCCACCTACCCACCCCAACCCCCCCCCCCCTTTTTTTTTGCTTGAAATCCTCACATTGGTTCTGGAGGGATGACTCAGAGGTTAAGGGTGCTTGCCGCTCTTGCAGAGAACCTGAGTTTGCTTCCCAACACCCACATGCCAAACACCCAAGAGGCTCACAGCTACCTGTAAGTCCAGTTTCAGGGCTTCAGTGCCCCTCTTCTGGCTTCTGTGGGAACCCACACGCCTGTAATACACACACACACACACACACACACACACGAGAGAGAGAGAGAGACAGACAGACAGACAGAGACAGAGAGAGACATACCACCACACACAGAAAGACATTTAAAAAAATAAAATATTCAGATTATACAAAGTACTTAGCAAGATGATTACCAAGTCTGGGTCTTTTATGCCATTCAAAAATGTATTTAAAGTTGCACATAAACCACAGTTACAATGTGCACACATACACATTTAAGCATGTATGTATATGTAAGCCTTCTATAGCATTTTGCCCATCTCCTGTGATTCTTTTTACAGCCTTGTCATAGTTTAGAGCATCCCATTTTATGGGTCAGAGGGTAAACCGAAAAGTATCCTGATTGGCTTATGGCCTTGCCGTTCATTAGAGACAGAGTTGGAGCAATTAAACCCCTTTCCAGTTTTCCTCCTTTGTATAATTCTCTGGTAGGAGAGGGACATGCACTAGAACTTGGCTACCAAAGTCGTCCTGATTGGTAGGTAAACCAAAGAAGAGATGTCTGTGGATGCAGTGTGACTTAAGTGCAGTTAAAAGTGAAAACCCTGTAGGGAAATTTCTCCTTAGCTGACAATAGGTGTTGCCAGCAGTGCCCTGTATAGCCGCGTAGCAAACAGCAGGCTGTCAGCGAGAGCCTCCTGGATGTTTCCTTAGGGAGCAGCGATTGCTTTGGCTGAATTCTGCTGCAGCGGTTTTCCTGGCAGCACAGAGTCTGTAGTCCAACAATTGGAGGAGGTAACCATTTTCTAATAACCACTCCAGGCTGTTGGCACCTAACTACCTGGCACTGTCTGTTCCGTGCAACTTGTAAAGTCAATCTGCTTGTCTGACTTTGCTGGGAAACCTGGTACTGCCAATGAAGCGCTTTGCAACAGCTGGATCCAGCGTCTGCCCTGCAGGTGTTCAAGGCGGGAGGTGAGATCCGCTCAGACAACTGAAGAGCAGAGAGAGGATTGAGAGTGTTTCGCCTTTTGCAGCTTTTCTCTCTGTTTCCACAGTGCTTGAAATCCGGATGTGGTCCTGAGTGAAGGACTCCAGGAAACACTTGGATGTTCATTCTGTCTCATTCGCCTTCTTGAACCTCTCATAGATTGACTTCATCCTGTTTCGGAGTCTATAGCACCGTGTTCCACCCCACCCCCCCTTTCCTGTGCACTCCTTCCTCTGGTTTGTGGGCTCTGCAATTGCTTCATCTTCCCCCTTTGAGGGACTCGCTGAGCTGAGGGTGACTGAGACTTTCTGTGCTTCAGCCCAGGCTTTCCTCTCCCGAAGGAACTCTTTCCAGTTTGTCTATAGCTCTCTCTCTTTTTACTCCTCTAGTTAAGTGAGAGTCAGCTCCCTTTTCAAACTTGAGTTCCTAATGTTTCCATCCCCAAAGAGTTGTGCTTATAAAATGAACAGAAATGTGTTAAACTTGGGATTGACTTGGTGACTTTTGCAAATCCCAGATAACTTCACCGTGTCGCTGTTGTGAAAGAACTTGCTTAACAATCTGTTAATTTGTCCGAACTTTCTCTAAGAACAATTATGTACAAAGCCTCTTAAAATTAATGCTCTGAATTTGAAGTTGGCAGCTGCCTACTAAGGCTCTGGAAGGCTCCTATATCCTGGAGATTATGTCTTCTTATGGCAATCCTAGGTGTATATTATTTAAGGAGCCCATAATTCATGAGAGCCTGTGTTTGATCCCCAGCATAGACAAACAACACCCCACACCACATACATTTCCAGGAAGTTTTAGGGCAGCAGTTCTCTCCCTGTGGGTCACAACCTTGGAAAACACATATTTCCAATGGTCTTAGCAACGGAGACACCTCTAAGTAGCAAAATTGTGGTTTGAAGTAATAACAAAGATAGGTTTATGGTTGGGGGTTCCTAAGACCATCGGAAAAATGTATTTTGATCACAGGTCGAGATCTTGCTGTTTGAGGAAGTTTTTTTTTTTTTTTTTTTTCAAGACAGGGTTTCTCTGTGGCTTTGGAGCCTGTCCTGGAACTAGCTCTGTAGACCAGGCTGGTCTCGAACTCACAGAGATCCACCTGCCTCTGCCTCCCGAGTGCTGGGATTAAAGGCGTGCGCCACCATCGCCCGGCTGTTTGAGGAAGTTTTAAAGGAGAGCCTTAAAAATACTCTATTAATGTTAGTGGTCAGAGAGCCCTTCCCCCACTGAGGACAGTTTATAATAGTACCCACATTGAAACCTCCCAGGGATTTTATGTTTAGCTCATACATGCCATCTCTCATCACCAGCCTTATGTAAGAGAGAGCATCGACCACTGTCGGAACCTTGTCTTGAATTAATTAAGATACTATGGTTAGCCATCGACATTTCACTAGCCGTGTTTTGAAATAAGATCTGCTTTAGTCTGGGCTTAAGTGATGATTGTGGTTCTCCAAGCAAGGCAGGTTTTGGTAGCCGGAGAGACAGAATCGCCTTACTCTTATTTCTGAATTTCTAATAAATTTGTACTTGTGACTTTAATAGGCTTACTGTTTCTTTCACTAAAACTTGAAGATTTTAATAGTTTCTCCTCCACACACAAAAAAAGCCACAAACTTCAGAGTTACCTTATCAAGCACTCTTGAAATTATGAAGGCACAGACCATGTCTGACTCCCTGAGTCACTTCCTGTTTTGTTTTCAGAGCCCTCCATGTTCTCTAGAGCAGAATACCCATTTAGTGAGTGAAACAAAGGCATGGCATTAGAGACAGCCGCGTTTTCATGGTACTATAGGATGAACAAACACTAGTGATGCATCTGGGAGACTGAGGTAGGAGGATCATGGGAGATTAAGAGCAGCCTGGGCTACACAATGAATTCCTGAGCAGCCTCAACTATGTGTAAGGAAAAAAATCCATTAAAAACATATTTAACACTTCCTGAGAAGAGATTTGGTCTAGATTTTCAATTACTGAAGTATTGAGACCCCCCCCCCCCCCGTGGGTGGATAGAGCTGAATCTTACAGGCAAGTTGAAGGCCCAGGCATCCCTTCTAGACATCAGTCATGGTTCATGCTCTATGAAGAAGACTGTCCTTTCATCTGAACACCTAGAATCTGGCCAATTTCCTGCTTTGTCTTTGGACATTAGTCAGCCTGCAAATCTCTCATTTGTTTATTTAGTCCAGTGCAGTGCCATGGAAACAATAACTGTTGTTCTTAATTCTGCGGGTTAGAGGGTAAAGATGTTACACGAGGAAGAAGACACAGACACGCGGCGGTCCCACGTGGGTGCACTTTAATGGGGGAGGGGTAACAGGCAGGTAAGGGGTGTGCGGACACGGTGGGAAAGGCGGGGAAAGAGAGAGAAGGGGAGAGAGAGAGAGAGGGGGGGGTCGTAGGACCCTCGCTTTTTAACGAGGAATACAAAGGCTTCTGGGAGTCCAGGAGAATGCTGGGAGCTGTAGTTCCGCAAAGGAACAACATTTCACCCTTTTGGTTTGATTAAAAAAAAATTGGGGGACCTTAAAGGGTAGGGAATGGGGGTGTAGTCCAGTCTCTCATGGCTGCTTCCTGCTGGCTCTGGGCATCGGGGGGATCCAGGGAATGTCCGATTATTCTGGTGATGTCCCACTGGTGTCTGAGGTCGTTGGTGTCGCTGATCACTGGTGTCTGGGATGGCTGATTGTACCGCTGGCATTTGAAGTCCTGGCTGTCGTCTGAGGTGGCTGATTGAAGAAATCTGTCTGGCTTTTCCTGAGTAGCTGGGTCATCATTAAGATGCTGGAAGGCAAAAGTTGCATTAATAAAAGGAAAAATTAAAAAAGGGGGGGATCTGGGGTGAGAGGGGGAGAGGAGATCCGGGGTGAGGGTTTCTTAGGATGTCCGGGGTTAAGAATGATAAAAAAAAATTAAATGATACTTATTCCGTTAATGATCTGCTTGTGTTTGATTTGTTTAGGTGGGTTGGGCTGGCATCCTGGAGCTTAAAGAAAGTGTCTTAAAAGAAATAGATTTTAGCCGTATATTCCTTAACATTTCAGTGGCCACTGCTGCAGTCAGTGGCTGACCTGCTATGTCAAAGAACCTTATTGAGAATCTGCTTACCACCTGAGTCCTTGACTCCGTATTTGATGATGGTACCTGTAACGACAGCTAGATGGTTACTTATGAATTTAAAGAAGGGAGGGTGTGTTAACACAGCGACGGATGGGGACCACTGTTTTCCTTAGACTGTAGTAGAGGGGACTGAATCCGGCGTCCTTTGGAACTTAAGAGAACAAGGTCCCGTCTGAGTTACTGTGTATGAAGGATTATCTTGAGCTGTGGAGATAAACGGTTTAAGATGTGACAGGTGAATCCAATGAGGAATTCCTTCAAGCTTGGCAGCTGTGGGAGTTAAAAGAATTACTCTGAAAAGGCCCTGCCATTTAGGGGAAAGAGGTGAAGGGCACTGGCCTGGAGGTGAGAGTAATACCTTATCTCTTATTTTAACCGGCGTTGGACATGTATTAGCACATGGTCGAGGTAGTGAGTGATCTGTGAAGTCCCACAGTAGTGAACGTAAGTGGAAAAGGAGGGGAGTGAGCAGGTGGTCAGGAAGGGGAGAGGTCCCCGATGAGAAGCTGGGGGTTAAGACCGGCCGCCCATACATGAGTTCAAAGGGTGAAATGAGAAGGGGGCCCCTTGGAGGAGCTCGGAGCCTGAGAAGAGCCAGGGGCAGGAGTCTTACCCAGTCGAGGTGGAGCTCCTGTGACATCTTAACGAGGGCTTCCTTTAAAGAGCAGTTAGTTCGTTCTACCTTTCCTGATGACTGAGGATGGTACGGTATGTGAAAATTCCAGGGGATTCCAAGCGCTTTAGACAGATTTTGAGAAATTTGAGAAGTAAACTCTGGACCGTTATCTGAGAATAAGAAGTTCAGCAGCTGACAAAGCCCATATGCAGGGTGCCCAGCCCCGAGTGGTGAGGTCCATCTTCTTTGACAGGTAAGCTACAGGTGCGAACGAAGGTCCCAGTTGATGGCCTAGGACTCCCAGGGCATAGCCCTCTTTTTCTGCTACGTAAAGAGAAAAAGGGCGGGTTAAATCCGGAAGATGGAGAGCTGGGGCTTGGGTAAGGGCCTGTTGGAGTCTCCGGAAAGGTTTGGTGATGGGGTGAAGGAGGGGCTCATGCAGAGAGCCGAGAGCTGCTTCATATAGGGGGCGGGCGAGGAGAGAGAATGAGGGAATCCAGGATCGCAGGAAACCGGCCACTCCCAGGAATGACAGAACCTCTTCTTTGGTGGAAGGAACTGCAAGAGATTGAATTAGTCTTTTTCTGTTCAGGGTGATAGCTTTTTGTGTTGGGGTTATGGTTAACCCCAGATACGTTGCCTGAGTGGTGGACAATTGAGCCTTAGAAGGCGAGACTCTGTAGCCCTTTTTGGATAAAAAATTTAATAAGGTGGCGGTGTCAGTCCTGCTAGTCTCCAAAGATGGGCTACATAGCAGGATGTCATCGACATAGAGTACCAGTTTTGATTTAATGGGGGACAGTGAGAGCAGATCAGAGGCCAGAGCCTGGCCAAAGAGGTGTGGGCTGTGCTGGAATCCCTGAGGGAGGACGGTCCAGGTTAGTTGTGTGGAGAAATTAGTATCAGGATCTGTCCAGAGAAGGCAAAGATGTTCTGAGACTGAGGGCTAAGAGGAATAGAGAAAAATGCATCCTTTAGGTCTAAGACTGAGAAGTGGGAGGTCCCTGAAGGAATGTTAGACAGAAGTGTGAGAGGATTAGGTACCACTGGGTATAAAGG